ATACAAACATCCATTCCCACCCTCATGCTCTCATGTACACTTACTCCACACTCAACCAACGTGGCATGGAGCTACCTGCCAGAGAGCAGCAGGTAAGCACATAGTCCCTCCTGCTAGCCCTCAATGTCTACGTGTATTTAAAGGAAGGAGGAGGAATGTTACAGGAGGAATGCTGACCCACATCCACCCATCTACATTAAGGGGACGGCTGTGGAGCGTGTGAGCAGCTTCAAGTTCCTGGGAGTTCACATCTCCGAGGATCTCATCTGGATGACCAACTGCTCCAAGCTGGTCAAGAAGGCTCACCAGCGCCTCTTCTTCTTGAGGACTCTGAGGAAGAACCACCTATCCTCAGACATCCTGGTGAACCTCTATCGCTGCACCATCGAGAGCATCCTGACCAACTGTATAACAGTCGGGAATTGCTCTGCCTTGGACCGGAAGGCGCTGTAGAGGGTTGTGAAAACTGCCCAGCGCGTCGCCGGAGCACCACTTCCTGCCATAACCACATAACACACCCACAACCACCTACACACACATACAATGGACAACTGTACCCTCAAACACACAATAATAACATGGACTGAACCACCACTCACAACCAGTAGCACTTTATATAGCCTCTTAACTGCACCACTGTATAGTTCTGAATAAATAATCATGCGATAATTTTTAATTCTACAACTGTTTACAACTTGCATAGTTCCCATTTCTGTATAGCTGTATATCTCATACTTCTGTATAGTTCTTTATTTCATATTCTGTATAGTTTTATTTTTCATATTTATATCCTGTTCATAGCCTGTTCATAGCTTGTACTCACTACAGCCTGTACATATATATAGTTATAGCATATTCATAACATACTTCATACTGTGTACATATTACATACCGTAGTAGACCCATTTCTGTAATATACTTACATATCTATATTATTGCTAATATATATTGTAATATATCTATATCATGGCTAAAGCACTTCTGGATGGATGCAAACTGCACTTCGTTGCCCTGTGACATGTGCAATGACAATAAAGTTGAATTATATTCTATTCTATTCTAATTACAAGAGACTGAACAACCGTGTTTCAGACCTCCTTCTCTCTTGAGGATGAGGCAACTTGATAAAAACCTTATAGAGGCATGATACGCTGTGTGTGTTTGGGTGATGAAGGTGCTCAGAGACAAATTTCAGGTTCCTATATTTTTATGAACCAGAGAAACAACAGGATTTAAATACTGCTATAGTTTTGGATTTGTTTTTTGGTTGTTTGTTTTTGTTTTGGAATTTTACTGGTTTTACAATTTTTAATTATTTTTTGATGTTTTGTCTTTGAAAAAATTCATGGATGAAGAGTCAAATGCTACCTATCTAACTCTGGACTGGTACACAGAGATTAACAAGTACAGATATATTTTCTTTTTTGTTATGTTTATATTATATATTCTAATAATCTGCACTAATTCTACTATTCTGTATCTCATCTGGATTCATAAAAACCTCCATGAGCCTATGTACATTTTCATTGCAGCTTTGCTACTGAACTCTGTTCTTTACAGCACAACTGTTTACCCAAAACTGCTGATTGACTTTTCATCTGAAAAACAAGTCACAACATATTCAGCCTGTCTCTTTCAGTTCTTTATATTTTACACTCTAGTTTTATCAGAGTTCCTTCTGTTGGCTGCCATGGCCTATGACAGATATGTGGCTATATGTAAACCTCTGGAATATCAAACTAAGAAAAACTACTGTGGGGATTTTCCTGGTTGTGGCTTGGCTTGTACCTGCTTGTCAAGTTGCTGTCTAAGCAATAGCAAGTGCTGAAGCAAAACTGTGTGACTCTAATATAAAAGGAATATTTTGTAATAATGCAGTTTACACTCTTCAGTGTGAAAGATCAAAATTAATTACTATCTTTGGTGTGGTCATTGTATTAGATCTTCCAATGCTTCCTATGCTCTTTATAGTTTTCACATACACAAAAATCTTTATAGTTTCTCATCGAAGTTGTAAAGAAATCAGGAAGAAAGCTGCAGAGACCTCTTTACCACATCTCTTAGTTTTATTAAGTCTCTCTGTGTTTTTTGTGTATGATGTAATATGCTTACATCATACACAAAAAACACAGAGAGACTTAATAAAACTAAGAGATGTGGTAAAGAAGTCTCTGCAGCTTTCTTCCTGATTTCTTTACAGCTCGTGCAAATCCAGATTTTCCAAAAACCACACGCATAATAATGACATTACAAATAATGCTCTATCAGCCGTTGCTAAATCCATTCATTTATGGGCTCAAAATGAAGGAAATTTCTAAACATCTAAATAAGCTGCTTTCTCAGGCCAACATCAGTCCTTGTATTAAAACTTAAAGCTAAGGTGAAGTAATTTTGTTGTTAATCAATTGTGTGCAGTTATTTTAAACACTTTTGAAATAGCCCAGACTACTAATACTCTGCCTATTTGTTAGTACATACTGTATAGTAGATATTGCCTGCCTTGTGTTTGCCTTTATGCTGCCTATGGTTGATGGAAATTATCTCGGTTAATTTCTTTGGTAGTAAACTGTTAAAGGTGTGTGACACACACTTTCAAATTCACCATTAACCTCCATATTTTTGCATCATGCTTGTCCATAAACACCTCTTATAAGATTAACTGAAGACCTGGAGAATTCTTTAGATTTGTAATACAGTTGGGATACCAATCTGCATTCAGTTAAAGCAGATATTGTCATATCTGTCTGTTTGTTTCTGTGCTAACATCAGTTGCATTTCAGCGCAACAGAATTCACATTCCTGGTTTTATTGTCTGACATCTGTCCAGAGTGGCTCCACAGTATAGTGGTTTATACTTTTGGCTGTTAATTGAAAGTTCCCTGGTTTGGACATGAAAGATCCCACAAAGAGAAACAAATCTCTGTGGTATTACATTAGGAAGGGTGCCTGATAAAAAAAATCTACTGAAGCAAACACGCAAACTGCTGTGGCAACATCTTGTGAAAAAGTAGCTTTACTGTCAGACAACTCTATATGCATGAAAAACACATAAAACCATCTTTACTTCAAAACCATTTTCTAACCTACTTCTTGCTTCTCTTCAATCACAACCTCAATTTTATGACACGGACAGTGTCTAACTGTAATTACATAATTAAATGTCATTTATTATTCTTACATTCATTCATTCATACATTATAAGTCACATGTTA